ATTCCTCCTGATTCCTGACCAATGGGGCGAGCTATGTGCCTTTTATACGCCGGATTTACGAGCAAGCTCTCCACGTCGTCATCGCCGTCGGAGCGTCGTGGCCAAAGAAATATTCGATGGCCAGGCAACGATTAAAACGGACGCTTCACGCATGCGCGCTCACACACAACGGCAGCCCGGGCAACACTCTCGTACTAACGCTGATACTTGCACTTACATTTATATGCATTCTGCATAATGGACCTAAACATATAGGGGGAAGCACAGCGGAGGACATCGCCTTAGGATTAGCCATTGAAATTGATTCCTCACCTCACTCAGCAACAACGATCGGCAGGGTCCCATTAGGCGAGCATAGGAAATAGTTCTGCCCGTCCTCTGCCGCACACTTAATGAGTATCAATGAGCTACCCCGTGCTAATAACTCACACAAGTATAAAACAAAATGCCATTATATCGTGTTCCTCTAAAACCCTAAGAAATTGAAACATTTTGTTATTAATATCCTTCCGAATTTGTTGACGTTAGTGTGGGGCTTTAACAATAAGATATTTACATATGAAGTTTCTTAAAATAGTAATATTATTTTACTTCCACATTATGACTTTATGAGATGACTATGAAGTTGGGAAACTATTTAAATAGTTTTCTGCCCATTTCAACTATTTTTACTGTTTTTAAGTCGAACAAGAGAGAACGCTATAGTCGGGTTGCTGTCCCGACTATCTAATACCCGTCACTCAGCTAAAGGGAGTGCGAACGCTGTACTCCGGTTGGTGTCCCGACTAATAATCGTAACTCAGCTAAAGGGAGTGCGAGGGAGATAGATATATAATTTTTGATTGCGTATAACTTTTTAATGAATGGTCCGATTTGAAAAATGTCTTCTACATTTCGATAGGTATACATATACACAACAAAATTGCATTTATACTTCTCGGAAATCTTTAAATATGTGGGCGCAGGACCCATTTTAAAATCGTTAGTGGGCGATTGTGGGCGTTAGAGGGGGCGTGGCGCTCGGCTAAAATAAACTTGCGCTGCGTAGGAAGCCAAAGAATATGTGTGGGAAATCTCAACCTTCTAGCTTTTGTAGTTTCTGAGATCTCAGCGTTCATACAGACGGACAGACGGACATGGCTAGATCGACTCGGCTAGTGCCCCTGATCAAGAATATATATACTTTATGGGGTCGGAAACGCTTCCTTCTAGCTGTTACATACTTTTGCACGAATCTAATATACCCTTTTACTCTACGAGTAACGGGTATAAAAATGTCAGGTACTGACTCCCTGTTCACAAAATATATTCCATATAAATTTGGGTTTAACGCGTCACATTTAGGTTGGTTTGGTTTTTAACCCATAAGAAGAATGAAAATATAACATACTGCAGCACATTACGAATAAGATATTAAGAGGGCCGCATCCGCTGTATCTAAATATGTGCGCAGCACTGTGAGTTGTAAAAGAGCGAACTCCTCTGTTGAGCAATGTTCACTGGCAGCATTTGCAACACCAGCAACAGCCAAAGCCAGAGCGGCATCCCAGCATCGTCAAGAGCATCGGAGGGGTCGGGATCGCTTTTGGGATCGGATGGGATCGGGGGACTTTGGGGGCGCAAGCATGGGGGATTCGGATTGGGGCGCATCATCATGTGCGCATTGCACGCACGTGATTAAAGCGCAGCCCCGTCGCGAAGGAGGGGAACTGGTATGGGGGGATGGGGAGGAGGACGAGGGACTGGCCAAGAGCCCGCTTATAAATCAGAATTCGCTCTTTTGGGGACGACAATGAACTCGGCTCGAATGGTGGCGAAAAAAGGGAGGGAAAGGGTGACGAGCCGCACTACATATTGATAAATAAATAAGATCGCCAAGAGGCTTTGTCTCTGGATATTCGGTATCCGAGTCCTGCTCACTCCGATGGGTGTAGGTTCAATGCACTTGACCAACTGGTTTCAATTTAAATTTCAAAATGCATCCCCGAAGATTTACGTTCAACATTGTTCGTTTGGTCCACAGAAATACTCAAATCGAAATGCCCGAAAATTAATTGGCCCCATAGAATTATGATCGGGAACATTCGCAAATCGTCGGCGGTTTGACACTTGACCCAGACGGCGCCGTCTTGTCTTGTGGCAAATAAATTAAGGCGCTTAAAATAGAGCCGCAAGCAACGGTCCGGCTCGATTATCCGACACATTTCGTTACTCAAGCCAACTGTCGGCACTTCTTTAGGTTCTAATCCGAGTCCAGGGTCCCGGTTCCAGATCCGAGGCCCAGGTCTTAGGCCAGACATTCAAATCACCCGGAATCAATCAACTTCGGCCAGGATTCGGAGTCTTGGCGCCGTCGCTTTATTCGGCCACAGTAATATTAGCCCATCCGACCGATGAGGTCAGAGCCAGTTCGGTTAGTTCTCCTTACGAAAATCGTGAAAATCTTCTAGGCCCAGCGAAAAGGCAAGCAGTCAAATTTGAATAATTTTTACCCATAAAGAAAGTTGATACACAGGTCGAGTAATGAGAGCGCTACAGCCAATAGAAAATATTACTAAGCAATGTCAAGATCTGTAGGATATACAATTTTTAACAATTTCTTTAAGATTGAAATAATTAAATATAATAAATTAAAAAATAATAATATTTTCAACAAACATTGAAATAACAACAAGATTGAAATAATTAAAGATAATAAATTAAAAAATAATACTAATTTTAACAAACATAAAAAAATAATTTTAATGATAATTCTATCAGGTCTATTAAAAAGAATTCAGGAATAGTTTTCTACCATTTCTAAGCTTGGATTAACAAGAATACATGGCTTAGTCACCAGCTACCAAAACTATTGGTCCAACAGTCAAGTTCTCAAGATTAAAACTGGGTTAAGTGAAATGGACCAACTTTTTGCCCAAGGTGTGGCCAATTGACTTTTGGCCTGCGCACGAGCCACAGGGTTGCCTTGATCTTGTGCTCAGTCAGGGGTTATTAACGCAATGTGTCTCGGGTATGTCGTGAAACCCAATCCGGCGGTCGGGAGAAAGGCGAAACGTAATATTAGAATGCCTTTTAATTAGCTAAGATTGCTCTAAGCCCGCAGGATTACATAAAGCACTGTTACCAGGGGGAACTAGCAGCTTGGCAAGGCCAACAGGCAACAGGCAGCTTTAATTAAACCGATAATGGGGATGGACAACGAAGGCATGCCGAATAATCGCCAGCTTAGCTAAAACAGGGATTAGGCACAACGTGAGCAGAATTTAATTTCCCAGCGACAAGTTCTAATTGAAAAGTTCACAAATTGCGCTGCATCATCATCCCTGCTCGATTCGTATTAAGAAATCCGCCTGAAAGTCTCACTCAGATTAAATCTACAAGGCGAACAGGTACAGCGAAGCAGGTACGAATGTACGTAAGTACGTATCGCTCAAGATCATGATCACAGCAGAAGCCGGAGCTTGAGTTATGGTCGGTTATGGCGGATCACAAATTTGACTACGCGCTCATTTATGCGAAATGTTCTTTCCGACTCTGTTTTCGGGGCATGCCGAAAGGTTATTTACCCGCCTCCATGTCAATACAGAGCGGCCGGACCCCGCAGATCGTCACTAACGATACCGTAAGTTGGCCAGTCGGGGGGCGGTGGGAAGTTGGCCTGAAGTTGGTCTGCGATTCAATGGGGGGTTCAAAGGGGGCTCAGTTACCGTCGACACGATCTACATAACATTTGTTGCGGCTAATGGCTGCGCATTGCGAGCCGCGCCAAATATGGAGATGAATGCGGAATGTCCGGTGGCCAATAAGGTTCACTTGGGCCGGAGGACCGCTCACACTCGACTTGAGGTATTACCTCAGGAACATTTCTGAATGTAGCTCGAAATCAATAAATATTTTTAAAATTGCGGCGTTTTTTATTACAGATTTATTGCTGGTAGTGACTAATATTTAATGTGTTTTTGTTTTTGAGAAGAATATAATTTAAAATTCATAAAAATCGATTTTATTTAGGTCATCTAGTCAACTGCAGGGAATCCCTAAAGACAATGTGTGATATAAGGCCACCACAAAGTCGAGTTTATGCAATACAATTTCCAATACGATTCTTTTTTGCCCACTCATTCAGGTGATCTGAATCTGAACAGGGCTTAGTTCTAACTGTGGTTCGCTGAAAGCGCGCGCCGAACACAATAATACTTAAGGAATCGGAGCGCTGCCGTTGCCGAGTTCCTATTGCCGTTTCTAACGCTATTGGCGATGCCTTTCCCACCTCAACACTTTGTATATCGATATATCATTAGCGCTCTTTTGATTTACAATCGCCTTTTGTGCTCGGATTTCGCTATTCCGCCTTTTGTTGACCGTTTTCGAGGAGAGTGGCTCTGTGGGGAGACCGCAAAAGCGGTTGGCTAATAGCTAATAGCTTATAGCACTTTCCTGCCAGCCAAGTCGAGCAGCGGAGTGATATTCCGCATATGCAGAACGAATGAAAGTGTTCTTTGCGATGGGATCGGTTTGAACGTGGATCGTGAGCTAGGTCTGTGGACTGCGTTTGCAGATGGTTGCAACCATTTCTGCATTGAAATGTTTTTTTGGAAAACCTTAGTTAGCCCCGACCAGAAGCTGTTTATGTAGAACTTATACAGTTAATAAGATTATTATATTTTCGTGATTGCCTAATAAAGCATCCTTACAAAAAAAAAACGGATCTTAAAAAACTTCTAACTACTGCATTGGCTAGCCCTTCCTATAACATATTTCGATTATTAGAGAGATCGAGATTGACAAATTTGAAAAACATATATCCTTCTCGTATATTATACTAGAGCTTTTGTACTTCGTAGTTAGCCACACTGCTGTTAGCCGAGTTAGCAAACGCACCTCGCATCGAACTCGAACAAGTGTTAGTTCGACGTGGCCGCCGTCAAACTGGGTCTCAAACGACTAAGCCGGGCCAAAGCCCGACTTGCAGAGCCGCCAGTCAGTTGCAGTTGGTCGATCGGAGCGAGCGGACGTTTTAGCGCGAGAATCGAGATTCGAGAAGAAATAGACCGCAGAATTGTTGATCGAGGGCCAGCGAAGACTGAAGAAGCGAAGAATCTACGAAGCAATCGATCGCGATCGCGTGTGAGGGTTTTGTGCGCGAGTTCGCGAGAGATGTGCCGCATTTGATCGGCGAAAGGTTTAGGGTTTAGGCACCACGAAGGGTCAGGTCACCGCATCCAATGGCCGGCAGACGCCACCTGCTGCTGATCCTGCTGCTGGTCCTGCAGCTGATCGCCACCACGCCGGCGTCGCGCAGCCTCAGCGTGAATGGCAACAACATTTGGCGGCGGGTGCGACTGGTGACCAGCCAGGAGACCGATCGCAATGCCTACCAGGTGCTCAAGCCGAGCAGCCGGAATGCCACCAGTACCACTACCAGTACAAGCACCACCACCTCCACCACCACAACCACCACTCCGGCAGCTCCTCAGTCCCAGCGGTCTGCCAAGCAATTGGATCTCAACTTTCCGGGCGGAAATGTCTCGAGTGCCGCCCGCCTGGAAATGTCCACGGAATTCTTTGTGGTGCCCACGCTATCAGCCAGTAGTTCCAGCAGCACCACGTCCACCACCACAACAGCCACGCCGCGGCGGAGTTTGGGGGCCAAGGCGCGAGCAGCGGGCACCACCACCACCGGCCGGGTGGCTCCGGGGGGAGGCTCCAACAGCACCCCGCCCAGCATAGTGTCCACCCACCTGCCCTTCGCGGGACTGCGCAAGGAGCCGTGGGTGGTGCCGGTGCTGGTCCTGGCCACCCTCACCATGCTCATGATGGCCGCCTTCGAGATCTTCGTGCTCTTCAAAGCCTGGCGCACGTCGCCCTCGCGCAGGCACCTCTTCCTGGGCCAGATGCTGCTCCTGGGCCTGTTCGCCTGCGCCAGCTTGGGGGCCATCATCACGGCCCAGCCCACGCTGCTCAGCTGTGGGGCAATCCGCTTCGGGGTGGGCGTGTCCTACGCCCTCGTCTTCGCCGCCCTGCTGGTCAAGTGCGTCTTCCTGATCAGCCTGAACGGAGGCGTCTACCTGCCGGCCCCCTACCAGGGACTGCTGCTCCTCTTCGCGCTGCTCATCCAGGTGGCCATCGGGGGCCAGTGGCTGCTCACCCAGCCGCCGGAGGTCTACACCACCAGTGTGCCCGTGATGGGCAGCGGCTTCCTCAGCACCACCGTGGCCTCGCAGACCAACTACTCGGCGCTCTTCTACCCCACGTCCTACACCACGCTGGACGGGACTCCGGAGATCTACACCCGGATAGCGGCGGTCAGCACCGTGCTGATCCCGCTCTGCAAGACGCAGTTCTCGGAGCTGCTCTTCTCGCTGATCTACATCGTCTTCCTGATCGTCTTCATCGCCGTGCTGGCCATCAAGTCGCGCGGCATCCGGGACAACTACAGGGAGGCCACCTACATCGGCCTGGCCATCGGAGGAGCCATCCCCATCTGGCTGGGCTGGATGCTGTGCGGACTGGCCGTGGCCGAGAGGCACAAGGATGCCTGCGTGGCCTTCGGCCTGGTGGCCACCTCCGCCACCGTCTTCCTGGTGATGTTCATGCCCAAGGGCAGGCAGCTGGCGGCCATGGGCAAGGAGGGGCTCTACGTGGAGGACCGCGAGGAGCAGTTCAGCTCCCTGAGCCGCGCCGGATCCGGCTACTCGCCCTCGTTCTTCCACTTCAAGCCCATCAAGTACGGCGTGATGAGTGGCTGCGGCCTGCCCAACTCGGCCTCCAATACGGGCCAGGGACTCAGCTCCAAGCACTGCTCCAGTGCCAACAACGGAGGTGGTAAGTCCCGCTCCAACAACCCATTCCACAGCCACAGAATTCGTCACAATTTCTGCAGAGCAATCAGACCCAACTCTAGCCACATACAGTTCCATTTCGACCTCATACCTTCTGCCCTTGTCAGCTGTCAGCCTCTGTTAATTTTGTAATAACTTTCTTTTCTTGCCTCATGTGCGCACGGGGGGCGGGGCTGGCAACCTCTTGAACTTTTGTTTATCCATTTGCTCGCTCTTTCTAAAAGCAAAAACAAAGTCGGGGGGAAGAAAAAGCAAAAGTCTTAACTTTCAAAGACTGTGAGCTCCAGCAGACGGTAGCCAAAGCACAGTGGTTTCAATGGAAGCTAAATTGTATCTATCTTGAAGCCTTTAGCAAATACTTATTAGCAAGAGTTTTGTTTAAAACAAGAGAGAATGCTACAGTCGAGTATTTCAACTATCAGATACCCGTTACTCAGATAAAGGATGTGCGAGGGAGATGGAGGTGTGCAATTGTAAAAAAAAATGGCTCCATCTAGCGGCCATTTCTGATTTTGCTCATAACTTTTTAATGAATTGTCCGATTTTAAAATTTTCTTCTAATTCTAATTCTTCTAATTCTATTTTCTTATTTTGATTTATAAACCAAATTTCCAATTATTCCAATCCATGCAATCCGATTCTAATTACTCTGCTACTGTACTTTTGTATGCAGTTTCATTGCCAATGTCAAATAAATAATTATACAGTTTCCCAAACCGCGCCCTGTCATTATTTTCTTTCCATTTCTTATGCATTTCTTTTGCAATTAGTATGTATGCCAATTTTCCTTTTGCTCCGCTTCATTTGCTTGTATGCAAATTTGTGCGCTTTCATTTCTCGTCCAATCGCAATTGTAGGCAATTTTTCGCGGCGAATTCGCGAGGCTCCCGACCACTGTGCGACGGCATTAACTGGGCTTAAAATTGTTTTGCCGGGCCGTGTAATTGTTTGGCATATTAATTTTCCCAACGCCGCAGTCGTCGTGTAAGCCAAGTGTAAAAAGAGCACACACTCGGCGATCCGTCCATCTGTCTTCCAGCTTTCGTTTTCATTTTCATTTTCGCGGTGAGAACGTCCAGGTTCGTGGGTTAGGTTTTTGATTAAGTTTTCGCTGCTGCGGCTTAAATCATTTCGGAAATAGCGATTCCAATAAAGCCAAGTTGACACCGCTAGGAACGTATTATTTGAAATTTCACATCTGCCCATTAGTCGGTGCTAAATGTCATTGTCAGGCGGTGTCGAAGTGGTCACGACCTGTCCTCAAACGGAATTCGCCTGGCTCATTGTCAGAGGGCAAGTGAAACGAGTCAAAGCCAAATCTCAGAAAGCCCACAATAAGAGCTGACTGTGCAATTTTCGGCAATTTATGAGCCGCCTGACAAGAAACAATATTTATGGAATTTGTATTTCTTGGGGTTATTAGTTTTTGTGTTTCTTCTTTCTAAACAATAACAAGCCATAAAAGGCTTTAAACTATTTCAGCTTTCTAATGAAAGCATAAGCGGAGTTTATGTGGTTTATGTGTGTGGCAAACTGGAAAGAAATGGGGAAACTCGGGGAGGAAGGGCACCCAGTGGGGGTACTCCAAAATGTGCGTGCCCAGGCCATGTAACACTTTACGTAATTTAATTAAAGTAAATACATCACAAATGTATGATTACAGTCAGCGAAAACATTTCAAATGGAAATGGGAGAGGAAAACTCGAGGTAATTCAAGTGGAAAACGCAGCAGAAATGCTCTGCGAAAAAGGTTAGGCAATTGGGGAAATTAATTACGGCAATTGGAAGCGAAGGAAAATCATCCAGTATATGAATTATTTTTCAGATCTTATAAGACACATATTTTCCTAATCTCTATTGCCAGTCAAACCAAATCCAGTTACCTGATAATTCGGATAGTGCACAAGAGGGGCAATAGCTTGCCAAATTATAACAATGCGCTGGTAGGGCAAAGTAGGAAGCGTTTTACATGGCAGCTACTTGACGACGACTCCAAATCCACAGCCACATCCAAGTCCAAGAAGGCAAACTCAGGCAGGACAAAAGCCGAGGTGCAGCTGGAACTTTGGGTGAAGTGGAGTTGGAGCCGAATCTGGAGTTGAAGCCGCGGCCCACAAGCCAAAGTGCCTGTGGGCAGCCTGGGCTCAGACTGAGCCGCAGATTCCGATTTCAATTCCAATTCCACTTCCAATTCCAATTCCGACTCGGGCTGAAGAAAGCCAGCAAGTAAGGCAGCCAGCGACAGTCGAAATATAGGTAGGTTCGTACATAGATAGATAAATGAGAGATATAGTGCTGTGGCCCCGGCTACACATATATACGTCAAACTGTCTGCAATTGAAAGTGCATTTGAGGGGTAACAGAAATCAACGACGAAAGAAAAACTAGGCAGCAGGCAGAAACCTTAAGAGCAAAAGACAAATGTCTGGAGACACACGGAGCACAGCGAAATCAAAGTAGGCACAGAGCTTAACAAGCAGAAGGAGCCAGCATCAGCCGAGAGCTGCAATCGCTGCCATTATCGTACCCAGACCCAGACCCATACTCAGGCCCAAGCCATGCCGTACTTCAGCCCATAACCAAACCCGATCCAATCGGATCCGATCCAGAAACATGTGTGTGGGTTGTGTAGTTGTCTCGCTAACTCCCCGACTTCGACTGCGACTCCGATCCGACTTCGATTTAAACTTGAGCCAGGCTGAGTGAAGTGAGCCAAAGGCAGCGACAGCAAGGGTTCCGGCTTGATTAAGGGCACAGAAAGAAAAAAACTGGAGCTGCATGTGCATGTGGGCAGCAGCTGAAAATTTACATAAGGCGATGAGGCAAGAAAAAATCAAAAGTTTTTCCCTTTTTCGTGCCATTGCTCTGGCGGATTGAAGAGCAAATGATTTGGGCAACGAACTTGATTTGGCTGGGGAGTTGACAGCTTAAGGAGAGGCAAATTATTGGATGTCTTGCCTCTGAAGGAAGATGCAATCTATTGCTAGGGTTCTTGAGCATGTGTAAGTCACTTCCCGATTGAGAAACCAATGACTCGCATAAAGCCATTACGTTAAATGCATTTCAAACTGTAAAAGAAAGAAGCAAAGATACTAAAATCATTTACTACTCAAACAAAAAAAAATTCAAAGATTTTAAGGACTTAAATGAATTGTTAATTAACTTGCGAGGTTTATTTGTTCAACAATGAGTAGTAAGTAGGTAGCTAGAAACGATATTGGATCCAACTCAGATTTCACCTCTAATGTATAAATGCATAAAAGTCTCAATGAAATTGATTGACAATAAATCATAAATTTATGTGCTCCAAATTAGGAGTCTCACAATCGGTAAGCTGAAACTGCAGGGAGGAACGAAAGATATTTCCAATAAATTCATAATATCAAATTTCCTGCCAAGCCTTCGAATATACATACTCACGGGCACTTGTGTGTGTGGTCGTTGGCAGTAAGCAGTTCGGCACATAATTCACTGAACAATTTGCAACAATAAACTAAACGACAGCTAACGGCGTTGACGCAAAGGAATGAACCGGGCCAAAAGATTCCAGGGCAAGATCAGGGGCAGGGACAGGCGAGGGGGCAGAGGCGGATCAGTGGACCGGGGGAAAGGGCGCAGTCAGAGGCCAGCAGCTCTCGATGATTGCCGCCATGAAGTCAAAGTCGAAGGCGAGGAATGAACGCAGATTGACAGCTCCAGCTTGGGTCTTTCTTGCACACAAAGAAATTTAGATCCTTTTTAAATGAAAATTCACAACCAGTTAGCTTTGGTCAAAGAAAGCCTACTTATATTATGAGAAGTGGATACTTATAGAAATGTAGTCATTTAGTTGCTCAAAAGTATTTGAAAATAAACGTTCGTTCCCTCAGTTTTTTGTTTAATCTAAAAGTAATTGGAAAATTTGAAGTGGTGTATTTATAATAAGGAAACCAATTAGACATATATTTATTAAACCATAAAAAAAAATAAAGCCACACCCCTGAAAGTAGAACGCACTAAAAAGTTCGTTGCCTCAGTCTTTGGTTTTCTATACGAAAATATTTTATATTCCAAGAAGTACATAATTGTACTTTAAAATGTAATGTAATAAGTTCGAAGAAAGTGGATTAGTCTTAGACCCATCTTTCTTATGAATGTGGTATATTATGCAATGCTGATATGTGAAATATTTAGTTTGCAATCTAATTAATTTACAAGCTAAAATTTTTTGAGTTGGTACAACTTAAATTGATTATTATTTAATAGGAGTTTTTTCCTGTGTGTGTGCCTGGTTTGGCTTGATGTGGTTAAAAGGATGTCGTGGGGCCCCGCCGATTTGAGCAACCCGTTGCCGCTGATTGAACGAGAGTTCAAGGTTGCCCGGGCTGCTTTAATTGAAGTCGCATTGTTGTAAGCGCTTCGGGCAGCTGTCGACAACGAGCGGCGCGATGACAGGCGGAGTCACAAAAATAGATACTCGTACATACTTCCGTTGCCGCTGCGTGATGTTATCATTATACCCTAACCCCTGGGGCCCCACCGCTTGGTGGGGAAACTGCAACTGGAATCTGTGCGCAGAAACCTCCCGAGACGATCCAGTGACCTTATCAGTGAGCAGGGTGTCCCATCTTCGACTTGGCCATGCCGGCACTTGGCCAGTTGGTCAGTAAGACGGGCCCATCAATCTGGGCATCTGCCAGCGGTCTTTGTTCTCCGGCGACGTCGCATTTTTTTGTAATTTTATTGAGTGACTTTATGCCAGGCAGCCACATACATAAAATCAATCATTCATGCCCGTGGAGCCGGGCAGATCCGAGCCGATCCGACGATGCGACGATCCGAGCAGACCTTGGAAGGTTAAAGCTTGTCGCTACACTCCCGAGACCCGTGCGGAAGTTTTTGTCTATTTGTCTTGCATGTTTATCGATCGATGGGGATTTGTCAATAAAGAGCCCTGGGAGGCCGCATAGTCATTTAACTGTGAACAGTCCAGAGATTGGTTTT